ATGGGAAATACCTCGAATGAACAGACTTCTGAGCAGCCTGCAGTGGCACACCGAGGAGGGGAGAGGAGTAGAGCTGGTTTGCCTCAGTGGACAGGAATATTTTATCACCGATACTGTTCAGAATTGCCAGCGTACCGTGACAATACAAAGCAACTGTTTTCAGTCTGTTTCATTATCATTTTTAAATCAGCGACCGACAGGCAGCCTTTTGTTGCCTGCACCTAGGTACACTGCTCCACTGCCCCCGGCTCTAGGCACCACGACCAGAGGCCTCTGAAATGACCCGCTCTACACTGCCCCTGTGCCGAAGACAACCTGTTTAAGCTGTATCAATAGAAAGAGCGCTCCCCAAAGAGACAGAAAAGAAATCAGACTTTGTAATTATTTTCACTACTGCAGTTAATACTAACATTAAGTGGTAAAAGTATATTATGACATTAATGTAAAAATTAAATCTTGGCTTAAAAATCAGTTTGTACTCAACCAATAAACATATACATTTTAGTGATGAAAAATATTTACATTAAAAAGAAAATGTAGTGTTATCTTAGCATAATTAAATCCATGGGGGGGGATATGCCCTTTAGCCACACTTTACTCTTTCAGAGATCATTAAAAAAGGTCAGTAGTAACAGTTTTTCCCTAAGTTAACTCTCCTCCTAAAACCTGAAATTTATATTTTGCTTCATAAAGGGTAAAAGGATTTATCTTATTTCGGTTCTGTAAATTCACTGTTTATAAATAAAATTCTATTAAAATAAAAGTTTGCATAAAAAAAGTTCTTTCAGCCAAATTTCTGATGTGTTATTGGTCCTATTCTAAATGCTTTCTAGGTGTGAGAATTGGAGATAAAACAACTACCATTAAATGTATTTCAAGGAGGTTTACTGAAGATAGATCAAAGAACCAGAGACTATGACATTAAAACACCTGATCGAAGGCCAGACTGAATGCACTGAATACAGAGCAGCTTGGAAAGAATATCTGAGTGCGGGGCCGAGCGGCTCCACCTCAAAGCCAGCCGTTCTCTCCTGTGTGCTCATGTGATTAGAGACCGGAGCATCACTTCCAGCACTGTGTGTATAATTGTTTGAAATGAAGGCACTGTTACAAACCTTGCTAGAATTACTACCTTTACAAAGAACAAAAAAAAGCACAATGTAATTACGCAATACGAAAGGGGGAAGGGAGAATCTGAGATTTAAATAATTTAGATCTATGAAGATTAAATGAACAAAGCACAACTTAATCAACAATCTAATGCTATATGGGTTAAAGAAAAAAGGGCACAAACTATTCTACCCTGTAATACAAAAATAAGAAAGTCAATTTCTGAAGTTTCTAAATTCTTAAAAGTTTAATACTCTTTAACATGACAAGGCTTCTCAAAAACATATTTAATGATGATTAATAAAGACTATTCATTGAGAGACTGCTACTAATATAGTAAGGTTCAAAAAATAAGCAGATTGAATAAACATCCCTTTTTCTAATATACAACTCAGTAGGCTCCAAAGGGTTTATTTTCAAGTTATTCATAAATATATCAACTTCCAGTGTTTGCCTGGCATCTAATAATCAATGTAAAGCAAGCCGACGCCTTATTTACAGACTTAAAATTAAAAAAGGCTTAGCAAAACAAATACGCCCTCTTTCACCTCTTCAGTAAACAGCAGCTAGTGTCTGTCAGGGAAGCAGGATGCGCTACACAGAAGCACAGGCTGGCTATGCTTCGAGACTGTGGCATTCCCACTTCCTCTACCAGGTCTGCAGGCCTGGACGGCACTGATACCTAGAGACAACTCGGAAATCACCCAACCATAAGTGCATCTTTCGAGCTTAAGCCTAACTGCATTTTAACTTACCAGATCCCTGTGCAACACCCAGTTAGCATGCAGGTAGTGAATCCCATCCAGAATCTGATAAAGCAGTGACTTCACCATTCCCCGAGGTAACTGAACTGGCTTCTTGTTTGCTTTAGAAGCTCTGTGAAACTTGATTATATGCTGAAAGAAAGAAAAATATCACCAGACGCTTAAAAAAGAAAAGGAAAGAGTCTGATACATCATGTTTTCCTAACAGAAAAAGAAACACTCAGGGGTTTCCAAAAGTATTGAAAATAAAATTTCACATTCTGCTGGATAACATAAATAACTTTAGAATTTTCAAATAACTAGAGCTAAAATGTCATTTCCTAAGCATATGATAGGTTGTCAGAAAATAAATGATTACAACAGAAAAGTAGGAAATAATGTAGTTTTATTTTTAAAATATAACAAAAAATTACTCTGAGTTACTTGACCCCTGTTTATCTGATAAAAATTTTCAAGAACAGAATACTTTTTATTCTGTAGTGATTAAATGAAAAGAAAAAAATAGAACAATTTTCAAGAGAACTGGTTGGTTGACATAGCATAGATGTAGTACCTATTTATAATATATGGGTTATAAGGAAAGAAATGGGGAAGTATTTTAATAAAGTACACACAAGAACAAAAAATTAAAAGATAAATGACCAGTTCATACTGGAAATATTCAGAAATATGAACGATTCAGATGAAAAAAATTTTTAAAAAACAGCCTTGTAACATCCATCAAAGCTTTCTAGGTATAATGTTGGGGGACACCCAGTAAATACAATACCACTGAATGAACAGAAAAATCATTTCATAAATTAATGTACCTCAACAGAAACAAGATCCAATGTTTCAAACTCTCTCGACAGGTTTCTTCATTTTAATTAAAGCACTCTTAAACTGCAAGAAAATCTAGAAGTCAGCTGCAGTCAACTCTGCTGTACGCACCACTGTGCATACTCCCGGCATCTAATATGCACAACAGCAGACACTTGGCCAGTGTTTGTGAGTGAATATTAGGCGCATTCTTGCACTTAGTAACAATAATTAAAACAGGAAAACAGGAATGAGACATTTAATATTATAGGTTAATCTTTCCATTTCTATTTTCTTATGATATAGAGGTAGAAATTGGATAAGCAGTAACTATGATTAGTGAGTAAAGGAGTTTTACTTTCCAAAGAAAAAATACAGAGCAAAGAGCCCCTGGCGGGGAGGTAAGAGTATCGATCAGCACGTGTATAGTATGATTAATTTATACTTTATTAACAGCATTACATTATTCTAATTTTCTTCTCAGTTTTTTTTCCCGAAGTATTGAAAAGCAGGCAAACAAAACAGAGCTACAACAACTCTTAATAATCTAGAATGTCCTGTCACCTATCCTAAGACATGACATGGCCGTCAAGTCTGTTCACCTTCAGAAGAATCAGAGCTCTCAAGAGCTTAAAAAAAATAGATTAAAATATATTTAAAAAATAAAATAAAATAAAACCTGCCAGAGTAAGAATGGAAGGAACACATTCACAGGGGAGCTGGGATAACCAACTGATGTGGAACACATTTCCTCAGTCAACATTTCCACTAGGATACCACAAATCAGTGTTTACTAGTATTTTACAGCTATAAATTACAGTGGAGGAATTTCTTACCTTCATTTCTATCTCAGGGCTGCACAACAAATATGCAATGTGTACACCGTAACATGTCACCAATACCTCAGTGACTTTTGAAAATGACTCTTTTTCTGCAACTGTTTCTGTCACCCTCTGCTGCCTTACGCCAGCTAATTCATCTGAATATTCCAATTAAAATAAGGAAATAAAATGGATAAAGTACATTTTGGCAAACTGAATTACCACTTGGTTTTTATTAAAATGAGCATTAAAAATACTTATTTGGCTTAAAGGAGTATTAATAAGAAGATGATAAA